GATTCATGACAGAAACTCTCGATAGAAGAATCCTCAAAACAAAGCTGATGTATCTGTATCCCTTAAGTGACTAGTTATATAACAAAACCACCTCTTCCACACAGCCTCTTGCTCTCTGCTGTCTGAGTTGACACGAGAGTGGCAGAAGAGAGAGGGCAGTGGGTTGTTTCCCTTAAGGGCGCTGGATGTTGTTGGTGGGGGGCAGTCATTCACCCAGGCTGTTGAAACTGCTCTTCCCTGTAATCAGTGCGCCCCGCTTCCTTTGATCACAACATCGTTTCAGTAATGAGCCACACATACAAGACAGCAAAGCCCCTGCTGTCACCTCAGCCCCCCGAGGCACAGCTGCAACAGAGAGGCAGACCTCGAGAACGTCCCTTAAGAGACTTGTTAGTGCCACTCACTATTATTATTGCTCATATTTGAGGTCAGGGATTTGACCACCCAATATTAGATTTTTTTTCTTTTTCATATTGGTCAATATTGGATGTATATCCAGTATTGAATATTTTTATTACGCATGCTCATACTTGAATAATAACATTGTTAAATGTAATATCAAACTAAATAACACTGTTAAATGTAATATCTATTATAGCATATAGCAAAATAAATATTAATTTTTCATATAATTGTGATGTCTAAATTCACTTGTTGCATTTAAAATGATTGATTTTTTTTCAAACATTATTAAATAGTATTAATAGCATTTTGATATTGGCTGTTTGTTTGTTGTCAGCCATAACATACTGTATAGTAATTATTGGTATCAGCCACAACTGTAATATTTGTGCATCATTAAAATATGTGATCTTAGTATGTGTGCATCTTGTACAGTTTGCTGTTTAAGATGTTTACATTAACATTATTTTCCTTTGATTTTAATTTGCATACAGATTTTGTATTTTATTAATAGGATAGTGTTAGAAAAGTGAGATTAATTTGTTCTGGAGATACAGTGCACTACTGTTCAAAAGTTTGGGGTCAGTACATTATTTTTTTTTTTAAAGAAATTTATTTTTTTATTCAGCAAGGATGCATTCAATTCATCAAAAGTGACAGTAAAGTCATTTATGATGTAACAAAATGCTGTTCTTTTGAACTCCTATTCATCAAAGAATCCTGGAAAAATGTCACAATTTCCACAAAAAATATTAAGCAGCAGAACTGTTCTCAACATTGATAATAATAAGGAATGTTTCTTGAGCAGCAAATCAGCATATCAGAATGATTTCTGACGATCATGTGACACTGCAGACTAGCGTAATGGCTGGACACCCTACTGGACACCCTTTCCATTTAAATGCAAAAAAGTTTATTAAAGGATCTGTGATTTACTTTATTCATATAACAGCTGTGCATCCAACCTCATATGGAGCTCAGCATCACTGGAGCGCATATACAATGAGGAATTCCATCATAGTTGGGCAGATTTTATCACATGTATTTTGTTTTCATTATTTATACAACATGCTTTTTAAAACACTTTTAGGTTATTTATGGAATCCAAGGTCATTTTTGAATCCTAGACTCCCAGAGGTTGCACTCAGAGGAGATGTTTGTTCTTCTAAAAGTCATCATTTGTTTTCCTGTCAATACATAACAGTAGTTGATGAATCCTAGTTCCTTTTTATATGAAATTCCTCTTTACTAATTGCATACCATGTATTTAGCCAGTATATTCAATAATGCACAATACTGAAAGTAAGTTTTTGAGGATAAATCCCACTGTAAGAGCCCTGATGTTAATTTGCAGTGTAGTAAAGCTGTCTACAACGGTCACGCATGTTAAATGGCACTTTATTTAGTACCTCTATGGCCATGCAATATGCTGCCTGCTGCCATAAAGTGTATGACACCCCACTGTTTCTGACATGACTGGCTTCATCATGGCTCCTCCCATGTTCGTGCCTTGAAGTTTGTAAATTTTTTATAGCCAGATTAATTTTAATGGAAATATGTTACCCTCTATACCCAGAGGCTTGATATGGTTATATATAGAGTCCTTAACCAAGTCAACTAGCAAGACAGTAAGGCTACAGTGATACAACTTCTCATGTAAAGACCCAGCTTCTAAGTTGCAAAGTCTATAGCTGTGTTTCCACCCACCTATTTTTATGCACATTTTGTAATATCGCATAAAAAAACGCTGGATGGAAATGCCAAGATGTGCATAAATTCTTAAAATTTGACTAGGACCACATTTGAGTAGGATCTTTTAAAACCTTTTATGCGATAAGAAAAAATGCACATAAACTACGATGGAGAAACATTCACAGAATAAATTCCTCCATGCGCATCGAATAAGACATGTGACTTTGCGTTATGAGACAGGATAACTTGACTAGTAGCAGACCAATCTCATTCACAGCATCTATATATGTTGTTATGGTCATTCTGAAATGCCTGAGCAAAGTCTGTTGTCAAATTATTTCTGTATAATTGTCTTACACGACTGCATTCCCAAACAGCTGGCATCCGCCTCCGAAAACAGTGTCTGCATTTATTGTGCACAAGTCATTTATCATATATGAACATATAAGCCTGGCCTACAGAAAAGGACATTTATGTTTAATCTATCTAATATTGTGTTGGTCATACTATACAATGATTTATAGCTTGTCTTTGTTGAATAATACAGAACATAAAGAGCTTTAAAAAATAATTGCACATTAAATCGCAATGTTGGTAAAAAAAATTGCAATTAGATTATTTTCCAAAATCGTTCAGCCCTACTTCCCACAGTCCTTTGCTCTATTGCCAACCTGCTTGATTGCTCCTAAAATATCCTGAGCCACCCGCTCTCCATGTAACCGTGGTTGTCAGTTTGACCATCGGCTTGAAACAGTTATGTAAAAGACAGAACTGGCTGGTGTTAGATGAGCCTGAGAGGAAGCCTGATTAAAGGCAAAGCTTTGGCACGGCACGTGAATAATCTCTCCAGGCCTGTTTGGATCTGCATGCCCGGATGCTGCTGGTACTGTACGATGAGTCACGGATGATGAACTTAACATTTAGCGCAGACTTGTGTGACTCTGAGATCCAGCGGGTGTGTTGAAGCACACACATTTACACACACAGCTGTCGGCTCTTGTGTTTGCTCTTGAGAGGTTGAGTGTGGAACAGCAGTGTGGGTGTTTGAAGATCTTAGCTAAATTATTTTGACTCTTGACCTCCACACGACATGTGTGACTTGTTATGCTTGCATTCCAGATAGAACTGAGTTCAATTAGATGGCTGAAAGAGCGAAAGTGTGAAAGCACTGATCTCACACAGCTTGTGAAGATCATGTCTAGGTTATATTTCACCCTTAAATAATAATAATAATTACATTTAGTTTTTAAAAATTCTCAATATACAGTAATGTCAAGAAATCCTACTGTTTTACCAAAGAAAATACATTTTTGGTAAATTTTAAGATTTTTGGGGAGATTGCATTATACATTTTTACATTTTAATATTTACTTATATATATTGTATCGAAAATTTGATTTATATATATATATAACCGCAGACCACGTGTAACCACACCAGCGTTAACTTGCCCAGCCCTAATATACACTGAACAAAATTATAAACGCAACACTTTTGTTTTTGCCCCCATTTTTCATGAGCTGAACTCAAAGATCTAAGACTTTTTCTATGTACACAAAAGGCCTATTTCTCTCAAATATCGTTCACAAATCTGTCTAAATCTGTGTTAGTGAGCACTTCTCCTTTGCCGAGATAATCCATCCACCTCACAGGTGTGGCATATCAAGATGCTGATTAGACAGCATGATTATTGCACAGGTGTGCCTTAGGCTGGCCACAATAAAAGGCCACTCTAAAATGTGCAGTTTTATCACACAGCACAATGCCACAGATGTCGCACGTTTTGAGGGAGCGTACAATTGGCATGCTGACTGCATAAGTGTTGCGTTTATAATTTTGTTCAGTGTATATATATATTATTAAAATTTCAATTATATTTTATTTTAATATTTTATTTAAATATGATACTTTGCTTATTATTATTATTATTGTTATTTGTAATTTTCATGAATATAATGTCGCATGAATTCAGTCACTTTTTAATTTTTTTGCAAAAGGTGCAAATGATCGGTGGGATGAAAATTTTATTTTAAATATGACAGTATATTTGGGTAGCATCTCTTTTGATAGGTTGGTTAATGATGATAAATTCATATTCAGTATGCAAAAATATGGCCATAAGAAAATGGTTAAAGCCAGAGCCACATTCTGATGATGAATGGATGCATAATCAACATTTATATTATGGAAAGACTTACTTTCTCTCTGAAGTGCTAAATGGAGTCTAAAAGATATGATAGATGTATGTGATGTATTTTGGTTTATGAAGGTAATAACACCATGTCACGGTTACTGTAGAAGGAAAAAATAGGAATATATATATATCTGTGATTTTATTAATTATTTATAAATATCTACATCTTGTACTTACTTCATTTATAAGATTGGTGAAATTCACTAAATAAATTGAATGAATAAATAAATAAATAAAATTTTTCTAAATAAACCCACATAAACTAAAATGATGACAGCATCTCCAGTTCCTTTCAAATTCATGGATTGAGAGTATAATTTAGTTTGAAGGACATTGTGTTCTCTGAAGATTGACTGCAGGTCTTGCTCTAGCTGTTGCTCTACCTTCTGGATTCGCTCATAGCACCCTTGAGCACTGGGATGTTGGAAATGCTCGTGGAATCAGATTAGTAGAGATATAATTGGGTTAGTGAGAATCTTGAGTGGCCTGCAAGACAGAAAGATCAGGTAATCCACACAAGCTGCAAAAGTTGAAGCAAACAGTTGAACTGTAATCCTTGAGTGTGAAGAATGTGTGCCCACATACAAATCCCTTATAAAACTAACATTTTAATTGCATGCAAACACATACAGTTATATTTTGTCAAACACTGATTTTAATGTGATTTGATAGCTGATGCCTCCTCTTTCTTTTTGTTTCTCTCTCTCTTCAGAGTAAAGAAATCACCTTTCAGCTGCAAGAGGATTTGATGAAAGTGCTCAACGAGCTCTACACGGTAAGTGCCGTAATAATAACACTCTTCTCACTTACAGCTATATGTTGTGAGCTGTGATAGCCGATCTCTTGTGAGAACAGAAAAATTTAGTATTTTATGCCTATACTTCTACCTCTTGGCTGCACCCGGGAGTGTACTATGGTAAAAGACCCATAAAACCGCTTAAAATTCACGTATACATTCCTCATCTCTGACCTTGGTAGATTATGGTGTTTGCACCAATAATCAATAGTTAATTCTCAGAATTTAATTGCAGCTGTCAGGCCCACTGCAGTCTCTTGGAAGATTCATGTGTCCTTTGCTTCCCTTGTGGTCTTAATAAGATGCTAATGTATTCCTAGGTTTAAAAAACACCTGCAGACTGAGGACTTGTCCTCTGTGTGTTTATTTGTTTGAAAAGTTCAATGTCGCATAATATGTGTTTTTCCGTAAAATCTGTTTAGTTTTGTTGCGTTGTACTTTATTAACATGTCTAAACTAAATTATTTGGAAAAAGTGTAAATTAAGCGAGTAATTATGTATCCTCAGTGGTAATATTCCAAGTTTTTTGTCTTAACTAGCCATGAGTGACCGTCAAAAACAACACAAAGCCAGACATTTTGACAGAGAATTGGTTTATTTTTCTAACTTATTGTGTTGCTAGTTCTTCCCATGGTAAAATGCTATTTTACCAAAATCATACTCTTCATAACTGTTTTTAAAACATCAGATATGTTCAGATTAATTGATTTTGTCACTTTAAATTTCTATTATACATAGCAAAGTATGTGGGATATTCAGATTCAGCTTGCATTTGTTTGATTTTAAAAATACAGTACAAATAGTAATATTGTGAAATATTATTACCATTTTAAATAAATGTTTTCTATTTTAATATATTGTAAAATGTAATTTATTCCTGTGATGGCAGAGCTGAATTTTCAGCATCATTACTCCAGTCTTTAGTGTCACATGATCCTTCAGAAATCATTCTAATATGCTAATTTGTGCTCAAGAAACATTTCTTATTATCATCACCGTTAAAAACAGTTATGCTGCTTAATATTTGTGTGGAAACCATTATATGTATTGGTATATGTATTTTTAGGATTCTTTGATGAATAGAAAATAAAAAACAGCATTTATTTTAAGTAGAATTTTATTGTAGCAATGTAAAAATATTTACTTTTTTACATTTTTAAAAATATTTAAAAATATTAATTTATATATATATAAAAAAAGAATACATATATATTTAAAAAAAAAAATTTTTTAATATATTTAACATTTTTTAAATATTTTAACATTTAATTTAAACTTTGCTGAATTAAAGTATTCATTTTTGACCTCAGACATTTGAATGATGGACGAATGAGGACAAAACTAAACTGGTTTCAGTTAGAAATGTTCATTTGATTTCTGTCTTGATTTGCATTCTCCCATCATAAGAACCCATCGAGAAAATCAATCCCAGATTATTTTTTTATTTTTTGAAGCTGTCACATTTATATTTTCTGAACGTTTGATCTTGTAATCATTCCGCACACCACAGCATCCTTTTGATCATTGCAGAAGTATATCATCCCTTTTGACCTGAATTACCCTTCGGGAGGGAAACACTCTTGTGGGACCGTTGCATCAGAAACCCTCCATGCAACCACAGCCAGTAAAATAACAGGTCTAAAATTGGTCCTTCTAAAACCAGCAGAAATGTAAACAGAGTTCCAGACCAGTAAGTGGAGAGCGGGGCCCATGGTTTGGTCTGCCATCCTAGCCATGTGTCTAATTATACAGTCGTGGACAGCAGTGCACTGTGCTTCTCCGACTGTACATATTTATGAACAATATTTAGTTTGGTCCACGTCTTATAGTCTTTTGAGGCCCTTTGAGGCTTTACTGTACCATGAATTATAATGCTGCGAGACTGCCGCTGTGATTATGGCCTGGACTGACCCGGTGTTCGGGGTCTAATCGTGAATGGGTCCTTGTAATCAGCTTGGTGCTCAGTCACCTTTGATTGAGGAGAAGGCAAGCTGATGAGCGGAGCTTAGCGCTTTAGCATTAGTGTCAGGCTTCGCAAGAGGCTTACAGTGCACAAAACATTTCAGTCATACTTACAAAATTGTTAAAGGTTTAATTTTTTCCACCTAATTAAGCGTTAACATGTGCTTCTAACAGACAGCCAGTAAAAAAAATGAGAGGACAGCACAGCAGCTGTAATTGTTTCTGTCTGTCTTGTTAGCATTGCATGCTAATGCTCATATTTAAGTTTGGAGAATAAAACAAACACCTTATCCTTAAAGGAAAATTCCACCTAAAATATATACTCACCCTCATGTGAGTCCTAATATGTGTGACTGAATTTCTTTTGTGGAACGTAAAAGAGATATTTTGAAGAATGCTGGTAACCAAACAGTTTCGGTTGCATTGACTTCCATTGTATGGACAAAGAGTACAATATAAGTCAATAGGAACTGAAACCGTTTAGTCACCAATATTCTTTAAAATATCTTCTTTTGTGTTCCACAGAGAAAAGAAATGCATACAGGTTTGTAACAACATGAGGGAGAGTAAATTAGGACAGAATTTTCATTTTTGGCAAAGACTATCCCTGAGGATGAAAGTTTGGAGAGCATCTTGTTCGCCGCCATTTTTGCTAGGAATATATTTTTTGTTTCTTAATGGTTGTACTGACAATTTTTGCCCGACAGGCTATAAAACTACCAGTCAAAAATCTATTAAATTTATATTAAATGATGGACCCGAGCCATATCCACTGTTATTTTAGTATAATTTATATAGGCTAATATTATAGTATTTATTAATATTTTAGTATTATTAGTTTAGTTTTAGGGTGTTTTAATAGTTTTGTTATGTGCTTTTGCCGTTTTTATTTTATAAATTATTATTTTTTATTATTTTATATATCTTATTTATATTTCAGTTTTAGTGCTAGAAATTGTAATTCTTCATATTAAAATAACTTTTTGGGTGGATTTAAAATCAACATTTCTAATTTTCTAGTTTTTTTTTTTTTAAATTTACGTTTTAAGTATAATATTTTATTTCAGGTAAAAATGGAATATCATAGGGACTTTAGAGGCCTACCCACCCAGAATGCAACACAAAAATACCATAGTAATTCACTAAAAAACACTAAAGAGCTGTGTACTTTCAAAACTTTTACTTTCTCAAGAAACTGACATTTCATATATTTCTAGGAAAAGAGAGTCTGGATCAGCTGCATGCACTGTTCAATCATGACGTGCCGATGTTACATCAATTACAGCATGACAAAGCTTTTAGCGTCGATTAAGCGCTCGCTCTTTGTGAAGAGTTTGACATCGTAGGTATAATTAGTTTGTTAGTACAGGCTCATATGTTCTGAGTCACATCCTAATGCTCGTCATAAAATTCATCTGGATATGACTAATAGCCACCTAACCAAAACAATGACTCAAGCCGTCTGAAGCAGCGTTTACCATTATGTCGCACATTCACTTCTCAATAATTGGATTTCTTCACGGGGGTTTAGCAGTCCATAATGTGTGCTTCATCTGAAAATGGCTTTGGGTTTGATGAAAGAAGCTGAGTAAGGTACAACATAATAGATGAAACTGTACTGATTCTGTTTTAAAATGACTGCAATTACCAGCATACTTCAAATACATAGTTTTACCAGTGTAATAGTTTCAGTCTCTCTTAATAGTACCAGTAAAATAGTTTTTTCTTGGTAAAATAAAAGCTCCGTCATGGCTAATCAAGAAGCTAGTATTTTGTTTCATTTGGTTACTCTTTGAAAGTGCTGATTTGAACTGAAATGCAAATGAAGGTATATGAAAGATAAAATTATGCATTTATGTTTTGTTTTAAAACATTTCAATTCGTGCTTTTTGGCTTTACATAACAAAAGAAAGTTTCTCTGAAGGAGAACAGAATTGATTTGTGTCAAGTGGGAGGATGAAAGTGTTTTGGCTCAGACGAGCAGCTGCTGCACCTCTAGAGCTCAGCTGGCTGTTGTTGAACTTTAACCTCTGACCTCTGGGTCCCGCAGGTGATGAAAACCTACCATATGTATCACACGGAGAGCATCAGTGCCGAGAGCAAACTGAAGGAGGCTGAGAAGCAGGAGGAAAAGCAGATCGGACGTGTTGGAGATCCCGTCTTTCACATCCGACTAGAGGATAGACACCAGAGACGGAGCTCTGTGAAGAAGATTGAGAAGATGAAGGAGAAGGTAAATAAGAAATGGTATTTAGTAGTACATAATAACCAGACCATGATGAATCATCCAAAGAAACTATCAGTTCTAAGTCCGAATCGATCTCAGGTTCTCAAGGCCTAATGGATCCATACCTCATATGATGGAATATCTGTGTCATATTGTACTGAAAAAAGAAAATAAAGAAATATGAATAAAAAATAAATGAAAGAAATAAATTTATTACCAGCATACTTCAAATACATAGTTTTACCAGTGTAATAGTTTCAGTCTCTCTTAATAGTACCAGTAAAATAGTTTTTTCTTGGTAAAATAAAAGCTCCGTCATGGCTAATCAAGAAGCTAGTATTTTGTTTCATTTGGTTACTCTTTGAAAGTGCTGATTTGAACTGAAATGCAAATGAAGGTATATGAAAGAAAAAAATATGCATCTCTATTTTGTCTTAAAACATTTCAGTTGGTGCTTTTTGGCTTTACATAACAAAAGAAAGTTTCTCTGAAGGAGAACAGAATTGATTTGTGTCAAGTGGGAGGATGGAGGTGTTTTGGTTCAGACGAGCAGCACCTCTCTAGAGCTCAGCTGGCTGTTGTTGAACTTTAACCTCTGACCTCTGGGTCCCGCAGGTGATGAAAACCTACCATATGTATCACACGGAGAGCATCAGTGCCGAGAGCAAACTGAAGGAGGCTGAGAAGCAGGAGGAAAAGCAGATCGGACGTGTTGGAGATCCCGTCTTTCACATCCGACTAGAGGAAAGACACCAGAGACGGAGCTCTGTGAAGAAGATTGAGAAGATGAAGGAGAAGGTAAATAAGAAATGGTATTTAGTAGTACATAATAACCAGACCATGATGAATCATCCAAAGAAACTATCAGTTCTAAGTCCGAATCGATCTCAGGTTCTCAAGGCCTAATGGATCCATACCTCATATGATGGAATGTCTGTGTCATATTGTACTGAAAAAAGAAAATAAAGAAATATGAATAAAAAATAAATTAAAGAAATAAATTTTAAAGAAAATGAAGCATATTTTATATTTTTTAACATGACTATTTTTATGACAGTTGAGCCCATTTAAACAAGCCTCCATATTTTTTATATATTGTGTATATATATATATATAAAAAAAAAAA